GATCATGGGGAACAGGAGAGGTACCTGAGAACTGAAGGAAGGTAAATATCACTTCAGTCTTCAAAAAGGGCAAGATGGAGGACCCAGGAAACTATAGGCAAGTTACCCTCACCTCTGTCCCTGGGAAGGGAGCGATTTGTTCTGGAAGTCATCTCCAAACACATTGAAGAACAGGAAGTTATTTGAAGCAGTCAACATGGATTTACCAAGGGTAAATCATGCTTGACCAATCTGACAGCGTTCAATGATGTTATAACTAGATGGTTGGATGAGGGGAGAGCAGCAGATGTCATCTACCTTGACTTCAGCAAGGCTTTTGACAGTGTCCCATAACATCCTCATTAGGGAACTGAGGAAGCGTGGGCTAGATGAGGGAGCAGTGAGGTGGATTGAGAGCTGGCTGTGTGACAGAACTCAGAGAGTTGTAATGAATGGAGTAGCGTTGAGTTGGAAGCCTGTAACCAGTGGTGTCCCCCAGGGGTCAATACTTGGTCCAGTTTTATCATATTTATCAGTGACCTGGAGGCGAGGACAGAGTGTATCCTCATCAAGTTCACTGGTGATACCAAACTGGGAGGACTGGCTCACACTCCAGAGGACTGTGCCACCATCCAGCGTGACCTGGACAGGCTGGAGAGCTGGGCAGAGAAGAACCTAATGAGGCATCTAAAGGGTGGGTTGAAAAGGATGGAGCTGGACTCTTTTCAGTGGTTCCCAGTGACAGGACGAGGGGCAACGGGCACAAGCTGGAACATAGGAAGTTCCATTCAAATATAGGGAAGAACTTCTTTACAGTGAGGTAGCCCTGGAACAGGCTGCCCAGGGAGGGTGTGGAGTCCCCTTCTCTGGAGATCTTCAAGACCTGCCTGGATGCAGTCCTGAGTAATGTGCTCTAGGCGTTCCTGCTTTGGCAGGGGAGTGGACGAGACGATCTCTAGAATGTCCATTCCAACTCTAACAATTCCGTGATTCCATAATCAGTTTATCAACCTTTTTATTTTAAAGTGAAATTAAGTTTCTTAAGCAGTAAAGGCAATCACCCAATGTTTTCACCAAGGTTTTAATTGATTGAAACAAAAAATTGTTACCTTTTAACAACAGGGTTTAGAACAGTGAACTTAAGGACAGAAGTGTTAATAAAGTAATTTATTAACCACAAATGGAAGTTATCAGTGTTTAGAATACCAAATTGCAACATAAATAAACCCACCACCCAAACCCAAGCATAATTCAAAATTATGCAAGTTTTAATGGAAACTCAAATTACACACCATACACACAGGAAAAATAAACTAGTTACAGTAAACAAGCAAAAATACTGCCTGGCAGTATCCCTTACTCTTCCCTTCCTGACACTTTAATAAAAGTAGTATTCAGATTATAGGCTAACCTTCCCTTCCTCAGCTGATTTCTTCATCCACCTTTTGAACTATTAAGTACTGAGTATTAAAACTTCAAAGAGCTGTCCCTCATTCTGCTCAGCCCTAAGGGTGTTTCCTGCCAGCCCTATTTGTAACTAGAGGAGGCAACAACTGCAGTCAGTAGGTGCTCTGCAGTCAGAAGCATGAGCTTGTATTTTCAGCATTCCTGTTCAAATCTGCATGCTGAAATTTATCTTCCAAGAAAAAGCTAATGCTTCAACTTTCTTCTCAGCCAAAGATAGGTGTAATATGAAATGAGGCAATCAGGCAGTAACTAGAAGAATTCAAGGCCTTTCAGGGGAACTATAGAAACAGAGGGTCTGCTGAGGAACAAACCCATTACAAAAATGTTTTAAGAGCTCAGAAAGTGAACTGTACCCCTTGGGTGGGACGGTGTGGTGATGTGCTCTCCCTGGTTTGCCCCCCCCTCTCCCTCTCGGCTCCTGCCCGGCCTTGGCCACCAGGGCCATCACAACAGCAGCTGTGATAACTTGCACCCCGTCTCTGGGGGATGGCTGGCAGCATAGTCAAAATACTGTCTGGAGAGGGGACCTAGAAATTTTGTTGCCATGAAAATATGACTATAGGTCAATTATCTTACTGTATAAATAGTGGACAGCCCAAGAGCCCTTTGAGCTCTCCTGTATGGCAGCGGGCTGCACGCCAGGATCTCCCCTTTCGTGAGGACGCTCACTGAAGGTTCTACTCCTCGAGGTTGAGGGAATCCTTGCCACAACAGAGTTTCGGTAAGTGACTAATAGCATGCTAAACTTTGAAGTTTTATCTAAGTAATGTAAAGGATTAATTGTGCATATATCATCCTTTAGACATAAACCGTTGACCAAGTCTGGGACTAGGATTGGATCCAGCCGCACCCAGACTCCTCTCTGAGAAGGAGTTTAGAAAGCAAGGGGGTCCTTTCTGAACCTCGTGACTCAACGGGAGGGTCTCCCTGACAGTTCTGTCTGACCCTGTCCTCTGTGCAGTAAATCGTAGAGTGTACCCTGACATCGAATCTTGTAAACACTATCGCATTTACCACTGGTTTTATCACACTACTGGTTTTGTTAAATCACTGTTTCACCTTAATAAATATTTCTCTGCTTCACTCTAACTAGTGAAGTTAATCACTCCGTCCGCGACAGACGGATGACTCACTCAGAAGGTAAAAGAACTTTACCTTGGAAAAATTAAGGCTTTTTTTCTAACTTTTCCAGTTTTCTAAAGGCAGCATTTTTTTTTCTTTTTTTTTAAAGAGAATAAAATATAGTAAGAGTAACTTACCAAAAAACTCCAACAGCCACTATACTCAAAGACAAGAATAATTCTCAAAGAAACCTATCATTACTGAAAAGCAGAACAGGAAATCCCCACTTCTAGCAAATATTTCCTTTCCCTTACTGATCTATTGCTTGGGAATTCAGCCATAAAAATAAACCTGGTACTTGCATTGGAGGAAATGCTGCAGGTGGGATAAATTAACTCATTAAGATTCAGGAGAAAAGTATCTTTTAGTCACTTTATTTCAAGGCTGAATAACTTGATTAAAGTGCATAAAGAATCATGGATTTGAATGTGATGGTCCTAAAAAGTTAGCATTCTTTGTGTACCAGGTCTTGACCAGTAAGAAAGCAAAGCAGATAGGGATTACAAAGACCTGAACTGCCATTACTAGTCTGATACGAAAAATTAATAAAAGGCTTGAAAACAAGGGCTATGTTTTTTCAAATTAATATTCCACAGGTGGAGACTATCTTGTGTGGAATAGCTTCATTTTTTCCTTTTTTTTTTTGGAGTTAAGCATTATTAAAATCTTCTTCCACAATTATATGGCATGACAAACCTGATATTTGCACAGGGGTGATAATTACTATATTTGCATGCATGTGATTTAGTGTGTGTTGATTCTATGCAAACAACCATAGTTTTATTTTCCAAAGGCCAGGGATGTAGTAAGAATGTATATTTTTCTATTTTTTTGTTTTGTTTTGTTTTAGAAGATAAATACCCTTATGAAATGGCCAATTTCTAAGAACCACTTCAAAGAGTGCACTTCTAATTTCTGGTATTAACTTCCTGTTTTGCTGCTACTAAAGTGAAAAAGTGAAAAGCTAGCACTCATACTGACAGCCCATTTACCTCAGTTCATGGTGAGGGCTACACAGACCACATGAATCCCTTCTATAAACCTCTTTTCCCACCTCCCTTAAGTAGTTTTTCAGAAACACTCCTAAGGGCTTGCAGCTGCTCATGCTGACTTTGGGAAATTATCCTCTCTTGAAACATGATGGCCTGTGTTAACGAACAGGGACCTTCAGAATTTATAAAAAGCCCAAAACTTTTGATTTTAATAACTTTATTAACAGGTGTTTGCTCTTGAAACTACACAGGCCAATCAGCCACCACCCCATGCCACCTGTACTTTCCTTTTTTCTGGAAGCTTGGACTGGGACTGGAGTCCACTTCCCATTTCTGATAGTTTGCTTGCACTTTTTATGAAAAGCTTGTGTTGTTACGATAGCAACAGCACAGGTGTAGAGGTGCTAGCCATGAGAAAACGACTAATCCAAACCCGTAACAAGTACCTGAAAGCACTGGCACCCTGCCATGCTTACAGCACAACTAAGTTACCCATCGGTGCAAACAGTAACAAGCTGCCTTAGTTTTGTGTGAAGTTGTATTGACTATGATAACATTTTACTGTTAATAAATCTCATCATAAGCTAAAAGACAAAGTAGAGGCTCAAGCAGGTAAGACAGAAAGACCCAGCAGGAAACCACCTCTGCCCAAACAGCATTCTTGCCCCATTGCAGTTTGGGCAGCGCTAGAAGCTTTCTCCTTCCACAAAGTTGGGGATAGAGGACCCTTTCCCACCTCCCCCCCGCAGGGGTGTCACTTTGCTTTATCTTGGAGGCTGTTGCGTATTTGTGGAGACCACCTTCTTCAGCTTCTTCTGGTCCCGACACAGGAGACAGCATCAGCTGGGTGCTTGGGATGCAGCACGTGCTACAGAAAGAGGCAAGAATGTCAAATTATATTTCCAAGGGTTGGGAGGGAGAGGTTGGTTGTGGTTTTTTGGTTTGTTTTGTTTTTTCCCCTAAAAAGTAGGCGTTTAAAACAGGAACCAGGACGGGTTTAGCCCTGAGCCCCCAAGCGCCTCAGGCCTGCCCCGAGGCAGCCGCCCAAGCCGAACCCCCGGTCGCCCGCCGGCAAGAAAGGGGAAGCGGCGCTTTCCTCAAGAGCCGCCCGGGGCTGCGGTTTCGCTATGCAAAGCCGCCGCTCCCCCTCACGGCGCTCCTCGGGCACGGCTCCTCGGCACATCGAGGAACCGCTGCGGCCTGGGCCTGTAGGGCGGCCTAGGCCTGTGTGGCAGGTTGGGCTCTGTCGCCACCTCCTCGGTTCACCCTCAGGGGCCGCGTTTCTACCCTCCCACTCCCCTCAGCGCCCGGCCGGTGCGAGGCGAGGACCGGCCCTGCGGCGGACCCTCGCTGCCGCCCGCGCTCCCCTGCCGGGGCGGGAACAAGTAACAAAGGGACGCGTCCCCTTTAATCGCCGTCCCACCCACCCACCCCCTTCCCACGTGGTGCAGGCCAGGGGGCGGGGCTCCCGCGGCGCGTCACTTCCGTTTTTCTCGTGGTGCGGAGGAGCCGCGCGTGGAGCAGGACGTGAGTGTTGGGGGGTCCCCGCCTCGCGCCCCGGCGGGGTCGCCGCCATGTTCTCCGCCCCCTGCCCTCGCCGCCCGCCTTTGGCGGGGGGAAGCTCGGTACCTCCCAGCCGGCGCTAGGGAAGGCCGCGCCGGGCAGCCGTGTGGCGAGGCTGCTCCTTTTCCTCGAGTGCCCGCTGTGCCCGGCGGGAGGGATGCCCGCGCGGTGGAGCGGGCTTGGGGCGGGAGGAGGAGCCGCTGTGGAGGAGCCGCTGCCATGTTGGGGGGGCCAAGAGGATTTGAGTGAGGGAGAAAATGGCGGCGGGGAACCGCCCGGCTCCGTTCCCCCCACGCCGGGATCTGCCCCCTGCCCGTTAGCGACCCCCGACCCGTTATTTCTGTGCTGCCTTTCCTCTGCTCCGCCGCCGGTGCCCTGCAGCCCTCTGGCTGCCACCCTGCCCCGGAGGATACGGGCGTCCTTGCCCGCGCCCCCCTGCTCAGGCCCTCGCTCCTTCCCCCTGGGGGGCAACACGAGCCTTGGAAAAGAGGAATAGGGGAGGAAAATGGCGGCTGGGATCCGCCTACCCGCTGTTCCTAGCTCGTCCTCGCGTGTCTTTCTCTTCTCCTTTTCCGTCGTCCTCGCTTGGCCCGTCTCATCCCGCCCTCGCTCTCCCCGGTGCTTCGGAGTCTCCTCACGCTCTCCCCGGGGGCACCTACCGCCCCCCATTTCTTTTCCCTCCAGTTTCCGCCCCCACCTTCCTCCATGTTGTCACTCCCTGATGCGGACCCCGGGGTTATCCCCTGCTGGTGCCCGCGCCCCTCGTGTATGAAGTCTGTCCTTTTTCGGCTCCCCGATGTCATGTCACCGCTGTGCTTGTTTTTGCATTGTCCCGTACCAGCACTCTGCCTCCATCCTGCAGCGTGGCTTATGTGTGCTTCCCCATACCTTGTTTCATTTTCAGCAGCTTCCATCGTTGTGCTGCAAACTATCACGACAGAATTTACCCTGCTTCAGAACCACGATGATCCATTAGTATTATTCAGACTCCGTTTTTTCATTTGCATATGTTTTTTTTTCATAGTCAGTTTGAAAACACTGCTATTTCTTTTTCTTTCCTGAAATACACTTCTTGAATCTTTTCTTAGCCTTTCCTAGCTGTAGCTTATTTTATACAATTTATCTCTAGAATGATTATTTTTATTCTGAAAGAACAAATGAGCTATGCATTTGTTACAAAGAGTTTCTAGTAGCAGGCAAGATGTGCAACTGCTATATGTAACCACATGTTTGCATACAAGAGCGATGTAGAAGCACACCTGGCAGGATGCATTCAAGGAAAGTTGAACGTCCACTTGTCTGGCAAATGACTTGAGTCCAGTGACTGATGTGTTGAAGCTGCAGTGGAAACACTCGTTGCGATGCTGAAGTTCACTGTAACTGAGTTGTTTTTCAGACTTTTTGTATTATTGGTGGGAGCTTAAGCTTCATGTATGATGATTACGTGGTGTTTGCAAATATGACTGGGCAAATTGCCTATATGAGAGTATAAGTAACACTAGGGCTTTAATAGTTTATATTTGTGAATGTAACATAAAGAATTCAACTGGAAGACATTACTGTACTGCATGTCTTACGTTATGATTTCTGCCATATCTAGGGGTATGTGAAACTGGTGAAAAATTGTCCCTTTGTAAACAGTTCAGAAATTAAAACACTGCATTTAATGAGTTGCAGCAAAAAGTAGAAGAGATGTAAGAGGGAAGAGTGTTGGAAAGAGTGTGCATATCTACAACATGTATTAAAGCTTGTATGAAAAGGCAGGAAAGTCTTTAGGAGGGTTTTGAATAAGATGAGCCTTTACAAATAGGTCTGAAGATGGCTTTCCAGCTGTAATGGTACGTATTCCTTATATTATTTTTCCTCATATTATTTTTCTCTTCCTAGAATGCCTAAATCAAAGGAACTTGTGTCTTCAAGCTCATCTGCCAGTGATTCAGATAGTGAAGTTGACAAAAAGGTGAACATTATATGCAATTTATTACTATTGTATTAACTCTTACATTTCAGGCTGGGGTTAAGGAATTCAGTGAGCATTATGTCACAACATGCACGTCATTCCATATGATTTATCAGACACTTAAACAAAAAACACCCCTACCCCCAACAACTACAGCAACAACTGCCCCCCCCCCCCCCCCCCCCCCCCCCGGCAGCTCGCTGCATCAGCAAGGCCTGGGTGTGTGACGGGGACAGTGACTGCGAGGACAACTCGGACGAGGAGAACTGTGAGTCGTTGGTGTGCAAACCCCCCTCCCACCCC